ACGTGTTAATTGCAGGTTGTAATTACACAAATTTTATTCAAAACAAGTTTTATTTCAAAAAGGTTTGCTTGCTTTTAGAGCAAGTTTTAAATCATCATCATATGGATACAAACCCCGTGTTCTCAGAGCTGATAGGAAATGAATTTGGCTTTAGGATCGTAAAAAGTACTTTCCCGTTGGACCTACATATCCACATGAATCGTGAGCTAAGGGGTCATTCGGAAGGGTCCTTCAGACGTGTTTGATTTTACGTTACTCTACTGGAACTTCTTGTCTGTAACGCGAGACCTTGTAAGCTCCTCAGGCATTTGGCAAGGCCGATGTGTTCATTCCTTTTGACTGCAGCTGGAACCAGTGGTGCTCTCAGTGCGTGAGGTGGTTGGCACCTTGATGGATTGGGCCCTGGGCTCTCCTAAGCCTGTTGCCTCAATTCTTTGCAGTAGGTCTGCCATTAAGAAATCTGTGGATAATATAATGCTTTAGCATTGCGATAAATAACGACTTCTGTGTGTTTGACTTTTTAAGTCTTCACAGAGAGGCACAAATTATTCAATCAGACTGTTTATCAAAGCTGTTTCTGAATGAGGTCTCCAAACACACATTCATCATTGTGGGAAATTTCCTTCTGAGATTTTTAAGGGGTTCCTTCTCTAATGTTTGTCTACAGAAGCATTTTTGTAATGGGAAATGAATGACCAAACAATTTCATGGTTTCATATGTGCTTATATACTATATGATGTTAGCGATTGTTAAGATGGTCCATTCAATCATTTACATTTGCTGAGGCATGTTAGAGGCTGTCGTTAAAATTTCTTTTAAAATAACAAAACTAACTGCACCCACACTCCACCATTTTGTTTGCAGGATGCACAAATTTGAGTGCAAAATCTGCTCTTCATTCACATGAGTAGGCATAAGTTTTGCCTGCACGGAGGGCTCAAAAACAGCAACCATTCTAATTATATTGTCATTAGTCACATAGATCCCGTGAAAAAGATTTGTAAATTTAGTCCAACATGGGGTAAACAGGATAAAAAAAGTATGAGGAATGAAAGGTAACCTCAGTGCAATAGTTTGTCTTCTGTACTCTTAGTTTGTTTACTCCACTTGCAGTCCTAACCTCACTTTGACAAGCTGTGTTTATAAAATATTTCCATTTATAACAGTCTTAGCAGCAAGAACTTTTAAGTTCCAATTGAGAGAGAATTCACACAACGCTGACCAGAATACAGTGATTTTAAGTTTCTTGCTCCTGTCAATAGTTGACATTTAAGTGCACACCTTTCATTTTTCATTTGCCTGGTATTTCTTTTAAAAACATTGTTGAAATAATCTCCAGAATAATAATATATTTTGTTATTCATTATTTATTGCTCTCATACAGTACATTTTCAACTCTTCTTAGAGCAAATACTGTAGTTATTATATCCTGCAGGTTTATTTATTTATTTATTTATTTATTTATTATATTTAATAATAAGGCAGGTGTAGAGAATAATTTGCTTGGGACTAAAGACAAAAAGTATGGTGCCACATTGTTCTGCACAAAAGAAATGTGATGGGGCGGTACATATACCTAAGATAAACAGAAAAATACACTATATTCGTAGTCCACAGGTAGCTGGTATACCGATCTTATACACAGATGAAATGGAAGTATCTGGAACAAAGCAGTTCATTTTCTTTAAATTTAGAATCCAAATGCTGTATATTCAGTGAAGGCTGAATCTAAAATCCTTACTTGAAGCTGCAGCTGAAGAAAAACATCAGAATTGACTGCATTGTAAAACTTTGGCTGATGTTTTTAAAAGAGTCCTCAAAGCAGTAGATGTAACTTACTTTCCTTGTGTGTTACCTGGTGGTAAGCAGGTAGTGTCCAAAAACTTCTGAAATCAGTTATAGGATTATTCTGAATCTAATCTGAGCTAAACAAAAACAAAAAAAAAAAAACAAAAACACGCACACACACACAAAAAAAACAACAGACAAACAAACAAAAAAACCTTTTATTTTGACTACCTTGTAACTTGTAAGTACATCTTGCGTGTATTTTTAATCAAAGCACAATACTTACCATTAATGAAGAGTGTAATGCAATATCTGGGCAGAATAGTCAGGAGCAAAGTCTATAATAAACATAAGGAATCTTTGCAGGGCCTACAGCTGCTTCCAATGAAGTTGGTAATAAAATTCCCAGAGATCTCACAGTTGCAGGAATAATTTTCTGAAAATATTTTAGTGACACAAATAAAAAAAAAAAAAATTGAAGAGGAAAAGAATAAACAACTGAAGAAAATAAAAACACGTTCTATCACCTATGCAGATGAAATTCATTTTTCTAAAGTTTTCCTGCTAACTTTTTGTTCTTTTTCACTGCTGCTGATAACCATCTCTGTGATGCTTTGTGTAAAAGTAATTTTATGTTAGCGTTGATGGCAGTTTTAACCCACAAATACCTTGCCTGAAGTTGGAGTCTGCGGCTGTTTAAAAAATATATATCATGTTTTTACATGCTTAGCAGTAGTGCTAATACAAGTGTGATATGCAGAGGGTGTGCTCATTTTATGTTTAGCTAAAATGTGTGTAATGCTTGGATAACAAGTTGGCAATGAATTAAATTGTAACAGATACTCAAAGTATACTTTTTTGGGTGAAAAAGCTGCATTGTGTTGTCCATGTGTTGGAGGAATTTCTCAGCCTAGAAAGAACAAATGCTGGAGAAAAATAAAATTATATATATGTATATACAACCTACAGCTATTATCTTAGGAAGTTCCTTAGATTTGGGCAGCAGTTTATTGACTGGTGTAGCAGTTAACAATTTTCTAGTCATGCATCATGGCAGAGTGTTTACATTACCCCTCTGGACAAAATTTTAAATCTTTCCTTCTTACATCAGAACTTACGAAATGTTTCTGCTTACTGTGTGTTAGGAAATGATGTAAACAACACACCAGTTAACATGTGGCTTGCTTCATGAATTTATACAAGTGGCTCTGTGAAGGGTGAATACGGTCAGAAAATGAACTCAGTAAAAAACTGGAATCCGTGTTTCTGAACTACAGAGGAAAGGATGCTGATGGTGGCTGTGCAATCTTCTATCTGAGGATACCTAAAGTAGACCTTTTTGCTCACACTTTCATTAATTACTGTTGTCTGGTCAGAGGCTCTCAACTGCACATGGGACGATGCATAAAAGTCACAAAGACGCAGCCTGTCCCATTCTTTCCTCGTGTGCTTTACCTGCTTGCGTTTTGTTAACAGTTATATTAGAGTTTATTTTTGTTTGCAACAAACCTAACAAAAACCAGAAAGGAGGTGCATCCTGGAGCTGTCAAGATGCAGCTTCTGCCAAGTCAGTCTTCTGACGGTTTAAAACATTTCAATAAGCAACATTTGTCTGAATATTTTAGTCTGGATCCTGTCTTGTCTACTGTTGAGTGAGGGTGACGCTTTGGGGATGCTTGGTTGCTCTGATCAGCCATCAGGGGGCAAATCTTGATCTGTGCCCCGTCATTTCAAACCCTACCGCACCTCTGTGCTCAGATGCACTCCATGCTTGAGAACTGATGGATCGGTCCTGAGAGTGTCTCCACTGCCAAAAGAAAAGGTTGCAGTCGACATACGGCTGCTCGGGAGAAGGAGAACGTGTTGGTGGTGCGATGTGGGTTACCTCTGCGCTGACTTCGGATGGTGCCAGATGGGGAAAAGTTTGGCGTGGTGCAACATGGATAAGGACAGCACAGCCAAGATGTTAGCCTTCTGCGGTTGTCGTGGTCTGTGTCAGTATCACCACACGCTAACTGGTAGCGAAATAGCAACCGGCCTTCAGCTGAGGAGGAGCAAACGTACCTCTCCCTTGGAGCAGTTTGGAAAAGGTTATTTCAGAGCAGTGCGAAATGACTGTTTTCATTTACCTGTGCCTGCTAAAGCAACACTGCGATGCTCTCAGACTGTGTATTAAGTAGGTCCCCGAATTAAAATCGTCTCCACCGATAATGAGGAAGATTAAATCTGTCACCTAAGGGCTGAGTTTGATAACACAAGGATGCGGTGTTCAGCTAGCCAGCAAATGTAGTATGATGTTTTTGTGACAAATATGTACCAACAATTTACAGTGTTGACACAACTGTTTACAAAAGTCTCATGAGAGCTAACCTGTTTGCCTGAGCTTCGCAAGTGTTCATCCTTGGCTGCACCCCCAACCTAACTGTAATTTACTGTTCTGTGGTACTAAAACAATTTATCCTGGTTATTTTGTGTACCATTAGGTAGACGTGGCAAAGATGTAGAAGGAAACCTGTCTCCGGAGGATATTAATGTACATCAGCTTAGCTTGCAGGTGCACTTCTGCTGGGAGTAGCTAGAGGAGTAAAGGAATTTTTTTATAAACAGAATCGAACTGATTGACCCACTTGGTACTAGGACCAAGGTTGATTACATGGTTAAGGTAGTATTGCTGACTAACATGCTAGTTTTTTTCAGCTATTGCATGTTACCGCTAATTTGTGTGGACTGTGTTGTGTGCCCTTCGTGTTTTTGGGTTCTGGGGAGGGAAATGGTTACTGCTACTGTGACAGCAACATGTCTAGATACTAGTATTTTTGGCTGCTGAGGATAAATGGCTGTAACATCATCAGACTTGCATAGACCTATGCAAGTATTCTAAAAATGTACGTGTTGTAAGGCGGGTGGGAATAGTGTGAGCAATGAAAGACTATACAGCCAGGGTTCAACAAGCGGATTACTCAGCTGTACAGTGTAGGCTGTCGTCCCTTTAAAACAAATTAGCTGAGTGGGGTGCACTAATCACAGACTCCTTTCTGAGGGTTGAAGAGGAAGAAGTGAAACTAAAGCAGAGCTGGTGCTGCTGTTTTTTAAAATAGGGCGTGTGAGGAATTTGGAGAAAGAATGAAAGAATGTTTGGACAACTTTTATTTGAGAAAGAAGAAAGAAAGAATAAATCAGTTCTCTTATTTATCTATCTTTCTAAAAGGGAATAGTTATAAGTGCTGTTCTTCTTCCTAGAAAGACAAATCCTCTTGCTGAATATTAAGAAGTTATTTCTTGTACTTTGAGGAGGACTGAAATAAATGAGGGACCTGGGATCACGCACGCTCAGCTAGCTCTGACTTATGTTGTGTCTTTGTGAAGGAGTGACGATTGTACCAGAAGAGCATTTCCTGATTTTAGATGTCCCCCTATGAAAGTGTTTATGCATTTTTATGGTTACAGGGCACATTTCTTTGAAATCCACAAGGATGTACTCAGCAATTTAGATAGGCTGGGGATGACAAAACAGCTCCCAAAGTGACAGTGGGATTGCTCCTTCCAGATCTGGGGTTCAAGTTACCTGCCTGCTTATGTCCTACCACCGCTGTTCTCCTGGTCTCATCACGTAGCTCTGGTGCTTGAAGGACCAAGGAGCTGCTGCAATTCAATCAAAGGTCAATTCTCTCTCTAATTTACCTAATACCTTTGTGTTTGTAGAGAATGTTTCAAACCAGTCCCTTCCTTTGATTACTCAATCCTTTATCTGTGAGAATTGCCTGCTGTGCGCCCAGCATCAACGTTTGCCTGTATACATCTCTTCAAGTCTGTCTGCTCTGAACTTTGTATTCTGCTGTATTCTGTCCCTTCTGTATTTCCCCGTGTGTCCCAGCCCAGGCCTAACAGACTTGGTTCGTGTGTTCTGGTAATCCTGGAGTGAGTGTTAAGCTGTTTATTCCATCAGTGTTTATTAACTAAAAGTTTATTGCGAGTGGTATTGATAGTTACTTTCTGTTACTCAGACACAATTCATGCTAATGGGTGTTCAGTTGATAATAACTCTGTGAGCCTCCTGGCTGAAATTTTCCAGGCCAGTTGTCCACGTCCAAATTAGACTTGTAAGCATGGTCACATATTGAAGTTACATGATCATGCAGCATTTTTCACAGCACTCTTCCCTCATAAATGGCCAGGGGGGACCTGCTTCCATGAATCATGGCTTGTAAGGAGGTTGAATGTTTTCTGTAGGACCTCTAACTTATTTGGTCTAGAACTTGGAACGTATTTGGTGAGTCGGGATATTGCTGACACAGAAAGGATGTTTTAATTATTAATACAGTTGAATGCTGCTCTGGAAGATTGGATTATGTCCCTGTTGCAGGATTCATGTGTGACAAGAAGTAAGTCATTTAACCAAATTTACCACAGGTGCTCATTAACTATGTCCTCCTCTTTTTCTAGGTTCTTGACCGGAGACTCTGATTTGTGGAATTTCTGAGTCCTCATGGTTGCAAAGAAAATCAGCAGGGACTGTCCATGGCGCATGTAAGTTCTCTGAAGGCATGAAGTTCTCCTAGGCATACCAAATTATCAGGTATCTCCGATTTCCCTCTGTGCACTGCAGTTCTCTTCTATAAAGCAGTGTAGAGTCATAAGGGGTTCTGCCCCATCTCACAGAGGAACAATGGAGATTCATCTGATGAAACTCCAGGCTTTCTTAATGAGATGCCCTAAAAAGCAATTAGTATTTCAGTCTTCCAAACACGGTTTACATTAAGTACAGTAAATAAGGCCTGCAACAACATAATAGAGAATGAGAAAAAGCGTAAAAAATGTATTGTTGCTTATTAAAGGAACACCACCCATTCTGCCTGACTTTTGAGTACTTGACTTTGCAATTGTAATAATATTATTTTAACATATACTTTTGTGTACAATACGTAAAAATGTGGATAGTATTCCTAATTTAAATGTTGCTTTTTAGAGGGCCGCTTTACTAGTGGGAGAGTCCTGGATAAATCCCCCTTTTATAATACCAAAGAAATAATAAACATAAAAGTTCATAAAGAAATAACTCTGTAAATATTTTTAATCCCTCAGCAGTCTTTCTAAAATACTAAAGGACACTTCTACTTAATGAGGCCAACATAACAAAAATCAAAGCAAAGATTCCAGAGAAAAGCTCAGCCAAAATAAAACACAGAAGAATTCTCAGCATGTTTTCACAACAGTGTAATTCAGGATATTATTTTATGTATTTTACCAAACTCTCATGTATAAGCATATCTGGAGATGAGAAAGGATGCAAAGTTTTAGGGAGAGTTGTTTTATTACACAAAGGCTTAAGAGGCCAGAGAGGTGATAATGCTTAAAAACAAGTTTATATTAAAAAAAAAAAACAAAACAAAACAACAAATTCTTACCTTATCTAGAGAGTAGTTTTTGCAACCTTATATATTAATGCAAGACAGCACAAATGTAAAGAAATGGATAATACAAACGTTATGAGGCTGGTTTTGCTTCATATCACAGGTTTTGGTAAGACATGCGTTGATTTTGTTTTTGTTTGAAAATGGAAGCTTTTTTTAGGAATTATGGTTTAATTGCATAATGTGTAAGTGTACAGTAAAACTGAGCTCTGTGACAGAAGTCTTAAAATGCCCAGCTGTTCTGGTGGTGGTTCAGAAGTGTAATCCACACCCATTGTTCTGAGTGCTGACACTGTTGACAACCATTTCATATAACCAAAATAACCCACAGGCTGGAAGGGGCCTCAGGACTTCTCTAGTTCTACCTACTCCCCAAAGCAGGATGAGCTGTGAAATCAGACCAGGTTGCTCAGGGCTTTTCTCAGTTGGGTCTGGAAAGCCTTCAAGGCTGGAGACTGCAAAGCCTCTCCAGGCAACCCTGCCTGTCCTCATGATGAAAAAGTGTTTTCCTGGTATCTAGCCAGACCCTCTCTTGTTTCAGCCTATGCCCACAGTATTTTTAAAACACATGTTTTAATTGGATTGCAAATATTTTTTCTTATTCCCTGCTGAAAGCATTTTAAAGAGATACAGAAGTTCAGCTGCAGCTGAAACTGATTGGGATAAAAAATTATTTTAGTATGGAACAGTAATTTTGCATGACCAGAATGCTCCCAATTCCAAACAAAATTGTAACAATGAAATACAAAATTCACTGGATGATAAAATGTGTTTATTAGCTTCATAAATATAAATGATGAACAGTGCAGGTATTCCCCAATGAGAGTGAAATTCAACAAAGCAATATGAAACTAAATAAAAAGTGAAACAAGCTCAGATTTGTACAAACTTGTCCTCCACACACCTTCAAGAAATATTATATACTGCTGCGATCAAAAGGCTCTTCTGCAGTTTCCATATGATACCATCATTTTATGACTGGCATTTATTGCTATAGCTCATGGATACAAACTTTGAAGAATATTAACAATATCCCATCTAATGACCCCGTGTTTTTTTATATTCTCTGTCTCAGCATGTCTACTTAATGAGAAGCTTTTTTCTTTCTAACAAGCTTTTCTCCCAGTACCATTCAAAAGGTTTGTAGCATTTTAGTTCACAGTCACAGAAGATATACCTGGTACTTAAGTGCTGAGCAAATAAATCAAAAAACGATGACAGTCTGACTAGGAAGGAGGCATGCCTCATACTACCAAATTTTCCCTGCTCATCCATCCCATTAGCCAGCAGGTCAGGGCTAGTGTAAAGCACATGTAGGATATATTAAAAAAAAAAAAAGTTCCCTTTGTGGAGGGAATGCTTTTTCCAATATGCATTTCTCTGAGTAAAATCTGGCTGAGTCAGAACATTCCAGTGTTTCAGGTGATTTCTTTGTAAGGCTGCAGGACAAATGATGTCTAAAACAAGTGGTAGGGTTTGACCACCTGTAACCAGCAGCTGCTAGATACTCTCAACTCATCTTAAAAAGACTACATACAAATAGTACAGCACAAAGGGATATATGCTAAGAAGATGGGTACACGTTTCAGAGGTGAGACCAGGTGCCAATGCAGTCACGGAGGTTATGTTAAGCATTGCACTGCAACCACATGCCCTGGAATGAATTATTGAGCTTCTTAAATGGTCATGCTAATGTTTTTGCTTATGAGCTCTTACCTGTAAAGGTATGGCCTCATAATTACTGTAATTACAAGGCTTATGAGTCTCATCACTCAAATCAACTTGCTCCCTCAAGACATACTCAAAATTGCTATCTGTCTAATTCCCACACACTAAAAAAGGTAGTTTTGGAGTAACGTTTCCACACTGAAAAAACAACCCAAAGTCAGAGAAAAGAAATACACAGCTGTGTCATTCAGCTGCACATACAGTCATCACTTTCCTTCCTAAACCTCTGCCATGTCTTTCCCACCATCTGCAGGTGACATACTGAACCCCCATACCTTAAGCAACCAACGTGCAGCCTTCTTCACCAGAACACGTACATTGATTGTACAATTAGTTTTGATGATGAGTGCAGTTGGTGCAGATTGCATGTGTGACATACTGAACACTACTGTGTTTACTTAATATCAGACAATAGATGGTGAGGAAGAAATACTTTTCTGTAATACCACTCTTGACACTTCTAATAGCACCAACTACAATAATGAAAGCTGTACATAGGACTGCACTGGCAAGTATACTCAGGATTAGGGCTGTGAATACTTCTTGTTTTATTTTTCCTTTAAAATTGTGGTCCAGCTCTAGTTAAGCATCATGAAGAGCTAAGTAGTTCCCCTGGCTATCATGACAGAATTTATTTAGAATGCAAAAGAAATCTACCCTACAGGGAATAGCTTTATGCTTAATTTCGAAAGTTCAGATTCGCCTTATGGCTAAATAAGTGTATGTGTGAAATCTGAAATTTGTGGAGATGGTGGCTGCTTAGCCCCAAAATACATAAAAAAAAAATGAAAGAAAAGCATGAGAAAATTTTAAAAAGAAACATTTAGGAATGTGTCTTTTGTCACAGTCTCAAAGAATTATAAAAATGTTTTTTGAAAAAATACTGGGTAAACTTTCTGTCTAATTTCAGTTACAAGAGATATCTTAATTCTGTTTTAAGGGCCTAATTACTGCCTCATTGAAACTAATGTGGAGGGGCATCCAATGAAGAGAGAGAATGCTATAAATAGAAATCCCAAACGGAGGGTTGCTACTGGAGTGCTCATGATACTGTATAATCCAAACAAGCCGATAAATTAAAGAAAGTTCAATAAATGAAATGTAGGGTAATATAACTTCCACTCTCTTAGTGTTATATCTCATTTATGTCTGACTTTACATCATTTGTAGTACAGTTATAGTTAAATCTGATTTGTGGCAACCCGAGCTTTATAAATGTCATCCCTTTAGCCTTTTCTGGATTGAGTTGTAGATACTACATTTCATGAAGTACTAAATATTCTCTGAAAAAAAAACACATTAGTTGCAGAAGTAACATTGGCTTCTTAGGAGCAGCCTAGGGACTTGATGGCAACACGGGTTAGTTCAGACCTTTGGTCTCCAATAAATAGAAATACAGTAAACCTTTGGGTACTTTCTGATTATATAATTCTTCAAAAGTCCTGCAATTATAATAAACTCATACTGTCTCCAGTAGCCCTTTATCTGATGATGTAACCAATAATAATAAAACAACAGGGACCTAAATCAGGACTTACCTTGTTAATATCGTATTCACTAGGCCTGTGAATATAGTTACAGGATTGAGTCCTTAGAATGCTATTTTACAACTTCCTATGAGATAGCAATACTCACCCCCCCACCCCCCCCCCCAGAAAAAAAAAGAAAAAAAGAAAAAAAGAAAAGAAAATGAACAGTGCTTGCTAAGAAAATCCTCTCTAAGCTCAATTAAGAGTTCTGCTATTTTACTTATTTAATAGCAAGTCTCAAAATCCTTCAGTTCCAGTGGTCTGATTATCTCATCATCCTGTCTTCGATTCCCTTTTCCTCCAAACAATAATGTACATTTTCATAATAATTACACTTTGATTTTCTATACACCCATGTTTTCACTTGAGTATCTGAAAGGGCCTTAAGTACTGTTGAGTTAATCTTCAAAACACCTGTTACATTATCATCCTCATCCTCATTCTACAAATAGATGAAAATGACAGCAAGAAGTAACCTGCCAAAGGTAATAGAGTTAGTGGCAGAGATGAAAGCAGATGTGAGCTGAAAGCAGATGACACCACCCTCATCATTAGCCCCCAGTAATCCTGTAGTTGATAAAATAAAATACAGCAGCTGTTTCTAAACTGCTGGATACCTATGAAGAGCTGTCATCTCCCAGGGTGCTAACCACCGTTTTTAGCTGCTTCTGTGTCTAAACACTTTCCCTAAAAAAAAAAAAAAAAAAAAAGGAAGACATTTACTAGACAGACAACGTTTGTGAATGCTATTGAAAACATAAATTAAAACGTTTTTGTGTAACAAAATGCATTCATCAATAAAGCAATATTGCTTGACCAGGAGCAGGTATAAAGGCAGCAAAAGTTACAAAGTTTTGGGATAAAGGGGATCAAACAAAGTGACCTGAATTTGAATAAGCCTTCCCAATGATAGACAAAAGAAACAGGGCTGGGAAGACACAGTGCTCCAGTTCGCTTGTACTGGGTGGGTCTCATTTGAATTTGTGCTTGGGGGTACATTCCAGCATTGTTACATACGAAATTACTACTCCTCTGGCCTCTAAATTACAAGTCAGATACAATATGTATACATTGTACATTAGGGATCAACAACTTAAATTTACATCTTATTTTGGCTTTGCTTCTTGAATTTGGCTGTTTTCACGAAAATTCCTAGGAACAGAAATCTGTCTCTTACACATGATTTAGTTTGTATCGTACCCAGTTCAATCAGTTACCATGGACAATATGTGCCAGATGTGGCCCATTTTGTTACGGAGATATATGCAAGCTAAATGCTTGCAAGACATATTTTGGCTTATATATCAGCTAGAAAACCCTACGAACCCAAGTCAGCTCTGTGCAGATCCAGCCTCAGTGTCTCAGTGTTGTCTTCCAGCTACCTGGACACTGGGCTGCAGTTGCTTTCGTGGTTCTGTGTGAACCTATCTGGCTGATGCTGAAATGAACCTAAAAAATCTGTGTGGAGTGGATGTGGTTCCTGCACTTGGCTGTCTTTGCACTGTGCTTCTCAGTGCTATGGGAAAACTCAGTAGCTCTGAAATGTGTCCTTCACCTGCAGTGTTTTGGAGCACCATGGAAAGATGTCTAAGGACTTCTGCAGAAGTCATTTTTGTCTCCAGATCTGGGCCTGTGCTGACTACCCTTGGACTCGGTTATTTCCAAGCAGGATCACTTTGATGCTGTCAACTGTGTGCCACAGTACCTGCATCATTCTGTTTTTCCATTAGTCAGGTGTTGCAGCCCCCCATTACATGTATTCTAGGAAATGGAGAGTAATTGTCAGACAACATTAATTCTGGCATACCTTCATCAACTTCTGCAGAGGTGCAGCAGAGGCGAATTTGGCCCATGGATTTCATCGTTATATTAAGAAGCTGCCAGTGCCATGTGCAGATGAGGGGAGCTGACACTGATGAGTTAGTGAAGCTGAAGTGTGCTATTTCACAGTGTTATTAAATAAATCATTCCGATTTCAGTGACGGTCTGCTCCTCATCCTCTTGAGCTCCTGACTTTGACTCTTACTGTATTATTTACCTTGTAAAAATGCTGCATGTGACTCTTAAGTATGATGGCTGAAGTTCAGGACTGGAAGTGGTTTGGTTAACCTCTACACCTTCCCTGCAGGAAATATTCCAGCAAAGCGTAACTGTGTTATAGGTAAATACAACTTCAGTGAAAGAAGAGGAGTTGCAGCCTCCTGTGCCAGGGTGAGTTTGCTGAACTGGGTCAATGCACTTGAGAATCACAGATAAAAAGTAAAAAATTACAAGGGGTATATTAGGGTGAAAAAGAGAACTGAGCTCTCGTGGTAATTTATTTTGAATTCTACTGACAAGAGGTTTACGGGATTGGATCCCCTACAGATCTTCTTTTCTTTTGCACTTATTTCTTCAGTGGCAATCAGCAGCAGTTTCAGGTTCAGGAAAGTATCCCAGTATTGTTCAACTTATCGTTGTACTTGATACTCTCAATGCTTTCATGTTTTATAAGGTAAATTCTATCTGAATAAATGTCCAATTTTTCTGGAAAAAAAACAACAAAACCAACAAACTACATGCTGGAGTTGATAATATCTCTGTAATTTAACATCTGATTTGAATTCTGGAGATCTGGTAAATTTCTGGAGTATAATTCAAATAACTGAAAAAAGCCTTTGACTGCCCAAATAAGGGTAAACAAAAGCATCAGTGTCATATATTAGGTAGTGTTAGTACAGAGAATTTTGTGAAATCCAGTATACAGACGATATTTAGCACAGGCTAACTGGTTCATTTTAAAGACAAGGAATAAGGGTGATTTTTATGTTACCCAGTTTAGCACATTTTAAAGTGAGAGTTCTTGTCTACAGCCAACTTTTGTATTGTTTCCACATTGTTTAACATCTTGCTGTAATATTTTCCTTCAGACAAGCTTTCTTCTGACTGTGCAGTTGTCAGAACAGAGGATATAGGCAAGTTTCCTCAGATCTGCACAGACACAGAGCATAACTAACGGTTCCATAGAGAAACACAGAATATCCTGAGTTGGAAGGGACCCACATGGATCATTCAGCCTAACTCCTGGCTCCATACAGGACCACCCAAAAATCAGACCCTACGTCTGATAGCGTTGTCCAAACACTCCTTGAACTCTAGCAGCTCGGTGCTGTGCCCACTGCCCTGGGCAGCCTGTCCCAGTGCCCAACCCCCTCTGGGTGCAGACCCTTTCCCTAACCCCCAGCCTGACCCTCCCCTGTCCCAGCTCCATGCCGTCCCCTCGGGTCCTGTCGCTGTCCCCAGAGAGCAGAGCTCAGCGCCTGCCCCTCCGCTCCCCTCGTGAGGGAGCTGCAGGCCGCCATCAGGCCTCCCCTCAGCCTGCTCTGCTCTGGGCTCAGCAAACCCAGGGACCTCAGCTGCTCCTCATGTGTCTTGTCCTCTAGACCCTTCATCATCTTAACAGTCTTCCTTTGGACATTCTCTAATAGTTTTATGTCCTTCTCATACTGTAGCATCCAAAACCACCTCACTGTGGGCATGCTGAAGGATTCCTATATCCTTTCCAGGAGTATTCTTACTTTCCCTTCTGGGAATTCCCAGCGATGAGGCCATACTTCCTTAGGGGCCATTTTCCCACTCAGGATCTCTGAGATAGAGGATGGTCTCGAAAGGGAGTCTTGGGAGCAGACTGGGGGCAACCCAAATTAAACGATGTTTAACCAGGAACAACCTGCTAGGCGAGGTGTTCCAGCTCATACTCTGTTCTGCTCAGGCTTGTCCCAGCCAAGGCTTAGCTAGGACCCACGCGAAGACAAAGCCAAAAGCACTCTGAAAAGGCAGAAGAACAGCAAGAGATAATATAGTGCCTGATATCCATACCGTGCTGCTTTGACGTTTGTTCTTTCTGTTCTTTCTGAATTTTCTCATTAATAGTTCAATGTCAGTTGAACAGTCAATTGCTCACTGCTCACTTCATCATTTTATCAGTATGGCCTCTGATATTTCCAGTCCTGACAGGTGATACCTATCTGTATTTTTCAGGAAACCAGAATTTTGTCAGTTCAAACTGATAAAGAAACGAAACTCTGCAGATGACTGACTTCTCCAACACGTTAAACTCTCCGTTTATTGATACGCTGATCTTCCACTGGGCTTCTGAAAATCTCATTTGCCTATTCTGACGAGAACACCATCACTGGCTGAACTGAATTTTTTGCCTTGCATTCTGAAACATTCAGCACGTGTAGAATTTTGGGAGTAAAGCCTGGAAACAGGACTGATGGCAATAAAAGGCAACATGTAAGAACCAACATTATTTTCAACTTATGGTACATGCTGTAATGATATGAAACATGTAATTTTAAAAAGGACTGTGACACTCTTATGCTGAGGGTACTCACTTTCTAGATTTACTGTAAATGGGAGAACGAGATACACCAGGAATGTGATGTTAAAAGCCATAACCTTATGTTGATGAAGATGACAAAGTATTGGGCTCTTCTCCAGCGTTTTACATCAAATCAGATAAACAGACTCTTTTTTTTTTTTTTTTTTTCCTATTTCATTGGCTGGCACTTTCAAATGAGAATGGCCAGATACACCATTCAGAGCAGTAAACAAGTGAATGGTCCAGCTGTTTAGAAAATAAGAACAATAGACAGCGTTTGAGAATCAATACCAAGTGAGAAATAGAGGTGGATTCAGCAGCCGCGAAAGGGAACTGGAGCTGAAATTAAAAACTTAGGGGGCAGCCTAGGTGGTCAGCCCAAGAGCCCGTGCAGCTGAGTAGCCCAGTGGCTGACTAGCAGCAGGAGAGGCCACTTCAGGAAAACAGGCGAGTCTAACCACCACCTCTGGGCCACTCCTCAGCATCCACAATTGTATTAGGGATGCTAGAGAGCAAAAAAACGTTAAAAAAGCCTTAACCTCAGGGTGAAGAGGTCTAAAGGAGAGCTGCGTGGCCACTGCATATATCCAGAGTGGATCTCAGTGAGTTCTAGCTCTACAGGTGTTTATGCAAGAGCTGTGCACATCCGAGCTGTACAGATGCTGTACGGGAATTTGAAACCTCGTGCAACAGAGGCTTTCAGCATTGGCATAGGGAAGGCCAACATACTTGACCCTCTTCTTGAACCAATATCACAGATGCGAGATGAGGCATCAGGAACTATAGACAAGGGACAGACCAGGCTGCAGACAATTATCATTACATCTGGCTGCGTTTTCATGTATTCATTTCACTGTTGCACCGTAACTTTAAGTTCCGTGTTTCAGCTCACTTTGTTTCTGCACGCATTTAGCTTACATTTCAAAAGATGGCTTTGAACTGTTAACGGGAGCGTAATCAGCACATGATATGCACTTGGATTGACATCTGAGCTATGAACATTTTTTTTCCAAGTAAACCCTTTTTTCTTACAGAAATATCTCCAATCTACTATTCATAATCTCGCACTGGTGTTAACAGGTTTGTTTTCTGAATGCACAAATCAGTTTGGTTTTAGTATTGTAGGTCTACATCCATAGCCCCACAAACATTTTTAGGGTACAGAAGTCCATGGTCACACCACCAGCTTTTAGCTAACTGACCTCATAACTTATTTTCGCAGCGCCAGTGTGTCTTCAGTTAACCAAACGCATGCTCCAGTCCTACTGTTCCACTGCTAGGTATGTAACTCATTTTTTCTCTTGGGACCTATGCAGTTAGAGAAGGATTTCATGATCTTTAATAAGAGAAATTAGTTGTTACTAAAATAATAGAGAGCAGTAATACTCCATGGGCAACAACATTACTGGGAAGGACCTAATTTTGTCTATGAGCTCAAGCATTAGGCTTCATTACTTTGGTGTCACAGAACTTGATGATGTATTTTCCACATTGATGTTCAAAACTCTGTCCTTATCATCCATCAAGCCTCTGTTGAACTACAGTGCATCACTCTTGGCTGGCATAACTCTTTGAGCACTAACCAGGGACATCTGCAGTCCCTTAGTACCTCCAGAACTATCTGGGACCTTGCTCAGCTATAAAAGCATTATTTGACAGACATTGGTTTCCCCCTTTGGGACCATAAGGGGAAAAAGTAGGTTTTGCAAAGCAAAATGAAAACCAAGAAAAAATCTAGTTCCTGGAAAGGCACATCTGATGATCCCTATAAATCCTGAAATCAAACCTATAGATCATCAAATACGTCCCCAGTGTGCAGGACCCTGTGTGCATGCAGTGCTGTGACATGAATAACTCGCTGAGATACAACATAAACTTGAATTCAGAGTTTTCAAAAGGCATTTTCTCTCATTATGCTGTTGACTGTAGGCTAAAAGCTCAGATGGGGTCCCAAGCTAGGAAGGGGGTTTGATACGGATTGGAGTACTGCCCTGAAGGGATTATTTCATTCAGAGTAAATTAGAACAACGTCAAGGGAAAGTTTGTCTCCTAGACAGCCTGGAATGAGGAAAGGTGGCCTCGTGCCTCCTCTGTTTTCTTTCACTTAGCTGCACTGTCAGTACAGGTAACGCTAATGTCCTGATTCATTGTGCAATTTGTGTCACAGGCAGGATTTGGAGTACGTTTCAGTGGATACCTCTGCAGCATCTGTTAAGAATGCAGCGTTTACTGATACAAACCTCGCTGGATGAGGGTGCACATCTGCAGCCAGGAATTTGCCATGACAGACAAGATGGTCACTTGATGTCCTTTCCAGTAGGATGGTTCTTTACATTAATCAGATTGGTCAGAAAGGTGCCAAAAAATATGTTTGTAAATATGACTGGGTGTTATACTTGTGTTATGACTTTCTAGTTGATCAACTTAGAAGAAGCAATTCCTATGCATTTTGGTGGAATTTAATTCTTGCTGCTGTTAATCTACTCAAAATTATCTGAGTTATAATTATAGGAATTAATTTGCAATTTTGACCAATGATCACTAACTTTATATGATGTCCACTACCACCTTTATAGTTTGTTGCCTTGCTCCTAAATGGACAATTTATACATATATTTTCCTCTGCAAAATGACAGTGGATGGTACAAAATTTATTTATTTATTCATTCATTCATTCCTATTTTGGATAGCATCTATTCTTGAAGAAATTAAAAAAAAAAAAAAGTAAAAACTGTCATTCTTTGTTCTTCATTCATGAAGAAATTCTCTCCTAATTCAAATTCAGTCAGTCTCGTTAAATAACAGAGTTCTTAACTTTTGCAGTAAATCTTGTTGTTAGGCCCAGAGTCTCTCCTCCATATGAGGTAGACGATAATTGGTCTGCTCTTGCCTGTCATTTTCTATCCAGAAAGCTTTCTTCCTGACCTTCATATTTATCCATGGAAAATATTTTCAACACAGCATTGTATGTTACATTACAAAATTTTAGGTTCACAGTATATTGTAGGAATCAAGAATAAAATGTTCCTTCCACAGCATCAATATCTGTCAGTGTTGACTCAGTTCAGTGTTAATTATGAGATGTGGACCTGCAGAGCTATACCAGATAAACTATGTCTTTGGAATAATTTATTCTGGAGCTTTACACTCGGCTTTATTTACCCCTCACACGTAGAATGAATTCTAGTTCTTTTCTAGCTAGCAGCCTGAACAAATTTCAGATATTGTATTCAGAAATGATTTCTGATTTAGTGATTTCAGTAACAGTGTTTTCAGCTGACAGTGGTAGCATAGCTTTGCTGGCTTAATAACACAAGAGAGAGAGATGGTACCTTGTTATTTATTATGCATATGTATATATTTACTGTATGTTCTAACAGTAATCGTATAATCATTTTTATAATGACCTTTGCTCTACTGTCTGCAGATATTTTAATGCCATTTTGACGAAGAACTTGTAAGCCAATTTAAAAATTTATCTTTCTATATCAATTAGTCCTCCTCATTATTCTCAAAGTCCCAGAAATCCAATTCCCTGTTTAGGAGCATCATTTTTGAGGCCTTCAACTGCTATTATCTTCTGTATTAATGACACGATAATTTCCTATGCAGCCTGTCTCAAATTGTTTTCAATATCTATTGGTCTAATAGGAAAAAAATGAAATAAAACAAGAGTTGAACATGAGTAACAGAAACAAAAAGAGAATACAAAACACATGGGAAAAAAATCTGAAAAAATGAAAGAATGATTAAGCTCTTAGGGTAAAAAGAATAAGAAAAAGTAGAAAAATTGCTAAAACCAGAAAAATGCAAGAACTGCTGCATTATATCAGTCCTTTTTTTCAGTGCTGGTTCATAGCTGCTCAAGTAAAATAAAAATACCCATGAAAAATGTATGCTGTTTGTATATTTCCCTGTTTGTTTCCTTTTGAACTTTCTCTCAGAATAATCATAGTACAAAAAAGGTAAATATGTTGAAGGCAGAGACCATGGATCTACAGAATTTAGCTCCATTCGCCAACCTAAATATGAGTCACCACAGCCTTTAACAAGTTAATTCCTCTTTTTCTACCAGCAAAAGGAAAATAACACTACTTGCCTACCTCGTAAGGGCACTGGAAGTTATAGAAATTACAGTTATTACTGAAAAATAGGTTTGTACCTCCATTAGCAATTTCGAAATAGTGACTCTCACCTAACAATCTCTATCAGGGAAATTTCACCTCTGAAGTCTCCTAAACAAACCAAATAGAATAATGCAGATGGTCGTATTTTTAATTCTTATTACGTATTATGGGTGCAGAATCTCTGTGAGGTCTATTAACCTAATGACAGACAATGAAGAGATTTAAATTAAGTGATCCGCCCTGGTTACCGTTTGCTAACACTAGTTTCAACTGGAAAGAAGTCCAGCATTTCACTCTTGCAGATGTTACCTGCACATGCAATCCTTAATTGTAAATAAGGGACATTTGTTCCTGCGGCCATATCTGTAGAGCAAATGAGGAAAGGATTTGTTACAGCACAAATGACATTTTGATTTTGAACATGCCGTCAAATAGCCTCCTGTGATTTTCAAGACCATTTTTCTTTGGCCAATCCATCATTTCTTACTTGGCTTATCTCGCGATATTCCTTTGTTGTAACACTGTGCACCCCAGGTATATTGCTCACCATTCAAAATTAAAGGCAATCAAAAACCAAAGTGGAAGAAATAACATTAGAATTGAATCAAGCTAAGCAGGATTTGTGAAACTGAAAGGACATCATGTTAATTCCATCAGTTCTAGAGGTGCAATGTTATCTTTTTTCTTTAGAGAACATTACTAGCAGAGCGTTGCCTGAATTGCTTGAGTTGTGGAGGAAGTTGTCTTTCTTGGAACCAAAATCCAGGAAGAAGAGATGAAAAAGATCCTTCAGAGATCATTCAGTCCACCTCCTAGCTGAAGAAAGATTATTATTCATGATCTTTGTTCACATTAGTTCTTTAAGTCCAACATTTAAGTCCTTTATTTTTACTCCCAAAAATTATCAACATTTGATAATTCTGTAATTATATTCATACATACTGATGTATTTAGAGTAAAAAATGGCCTGATGACCTGTATCTCTGTTCTAAGTAAGTCAACGTCTAGGTGGCAACACGAGGAACAAGGCTCAATGCTTTCATAGGGCAGCAACGAGAGAGGAAATGGGCATTTATTCAGGCAAGAGAAGGAAGGGAAAGGACAGAAACTGGCACACTGGGGCCTGTTTTAAAGTAATTTTAGAACTATGGCAAACACGTTTCCTTTGATAAAGAGGCACTCACTACAGTTTACTGAAATGACCCAGCTGATCCCAGACACCGTGAGAATATACTATGAGTCTGATCTACCTTGAAGACAGCCAAAAAGGGAAACGGATGTAAAAATGAAACTGCTAGCCCCAGTTTGTCAATACCAGAAACAGGATTGGAATCCACCCCTACAGTATGCTGTCTACTAAGAGATTCACAGTAGTTCATTGATACTGCCAAGCACAGCTTATGGATATCAGCAGTTTTTAAAGTTAAGCAATTTAGACCTTAACTCGACCTGAAGAGTTGGCTATGCCTAACATGAGTAAGCTTGTGAGCCCTGGACGGGGATATTCAGGTACACTGTTCATTCTTATGTTAATTAATACACCAATTACTTAACACTGTGTGTGTTCAGTTCCAGGTCCATGGGTAATACTACCTGTCTGAGATACGTGCACAGTACAGCGAAAGCCTACTCGCCTTCCAAAATCACCTCGAGTGATAAGTACCTAGTTGCTGGCTGTCCTTGATTTTTACAGGGTCTGTACGTGAATATATGCTTACATAAACTCTAGTTTAAGTAAATGAATCCAAATATAAAGAAATTACGGCTTTGTTTTCTAGAATCTGCCAGTCATGGCAGCTACTCTGCTAAATTCAATGCAAAATCTGGGGCCCCAACAGTCACTTTTTCAATGCGGTATGTCTTAAACCTATGATTCTGCCTGAGAAAATGCAAAGAGACAGTAACAAAGCTAAAATTAGAAATCAGGAGCTCTAGCTTCCAAGGCAATGCACATTACGTGACATTTTTTCAATAACACAGGCATTTTCTGTTAGCAAAAATGGCTTACAGAATATATTGCACAATGTAAAATCTTCCTTCAAATCTCAGGGCTGGAGGACAACATGGTGTTTATTTACCTAATTTCAAAACCCCAACATTTTGAAAGAAACAGCTAAGATCAATATAAATAATTTATTCTAATAATGATTAAGTAATGACTATACGATCACAACTTGTAGTTCTGATGGCATCACCCAAGCCATTACAAGCCAAGCAGCTATACAACTGCTTTCAAAATTAATATATTCAGTCAAAATAATAATCTATGGGGGTACAGTAATCTGTTCAAAGCACATCACACAATTAAATGTTCTCCAGAATAATGGTTTAGTGGAACAAATCTTTTCTCAAATATACCTAATGTTTAAAATTATGGACTTACATGGAACATTTCATTTTTCATGAAGAGCTGTGAAAATTATATTTAAATATGAATCATGGTATATATTTGAAGAAGTAGGCTGCTAACAGCCAAAATCCAGCAAATGGAATTTTGAGAACAAAGAGAAGTGGTTTACCTCAGAATATTCCAGCAAAAAGCTTTGGCCCTCATGAGGTTTCCTCGCCCAGCAAATTACAAGCAAACGAGGAACTGCACAGTTGGAGAACACCACATCCTAGCCAGCTAGAGCAATGCATTTTTGCATAAGGAGCCTCTATGCTGAACACTGTGGGCTCCAATGGTGATGGGACAGCTCATTTATTTTTCTACAACAATTAAAGAACTCTTTATAATACTAGTTTACAGCCAAATTGGTAAAGCCAACATTTTAATGTTCTACTTAAGCCTATCAAAATATTGTGCATTCTGTAATTACTATTGTTTAGATAGTTTAGTCATGCCGGACAAGACCTCACTACTGAAAAATGTTTGGTCTGATACTCAAGAGCTTAAAAGTAATTCTTCCAGCATTTGTCCAGCACAGATAGATGCACATTTAGCCCACGAGGTGCACATTATCTGTCTAGCAGGCTTCCTAGCGAGGTGGTTGAGGTCCCCAGACCCGTCAGTGTTCAAGAGGCATTTCGACAATGCCATCATTAATATGCTTTAACATTTGTTTAGCCCTGAAGTGGTCAGGCAGCTGGACTCGATTGTCTTTGAAGGTTCCTGTCAACTGAACCATTGCCTTCTGTCCTGTAACACAGCTAAAGTAACAAAATCATTACAGAAATCTGCGTTAGGTAACTCCTGAACATAGCTCAGGACTCCAGTCTGGGTGAGACCGTGCATTTCTTCGTGTTTTCATCCACAAAACTATATAGCCATTTTGCATGACTTTTTTTACTGCTGCTCAGGTGATCTGGCCATTTTAATTTCATGATCCCCCCTCCTTGTTTTCATTAGAGAAAAGTCATAATGTACAATTATATATTTATATTGCAGGCAGAGAACTCAGATTAAGTCTGCAAAACTAATTAGAAACATTCAAATAAAACTGGCATTGTTGAGCTTCTGGCACAAGGCCAGCCTGAACTAAATTTATCTTGCTCAAACATCTCTTCTTTTTCGGATGGTGGGAGGAGGGGTCTGACAGAGGGAAGAGCTTGATGAAGGGAAGGCTCTCCAGAGTTCTGCCTCTGCTGCAGAGCCTGATGCCTGTTGCATCACCCAGGCCACCAGAAGACATGGAGGTGTGAGGGGCTAGAGACTGGCACACGATGTCTGGCACACAATGTTTCACCCCTGGCTGTTTCTCTCTGGTGCTGCCTGGTTGTGCTGTGGCAGTCAGGGTCTTCATCCTCCCCTGTGGAGCCACACCTTGCCGACTGGAAGAGGGACTTTTGAGGAAAAAAGTAATCATAGAATTTTAGGTGGCTTAGGTTGGAAGGGACCTTGAAGATTATTGAATTACAGCCCCTCTGCCATGGGCAGGGACACCTCCCACTACAGGAGGCTGCCCAAAGCCCCATCCAGCCTGGCTTTGAGCACCCCCATGGCTGGGGCACCCACAGCTTCTGTGGGCAGCCCTCACCACCCTCTGAGAGAAGAATTTCCTCCTCACGTCTAACCTAAATCTCCCCTCTTTTACTTTTAGTGCTCCCGTCAAAGAACATTCCTTTAAGAAAAAAAAACCCTTGAGAAGCTTTGAGCTGAAGGGGGGGGGGTTGGACAGCCGGACTGACGGACAGACAGCCAGACAGCCCCCCTTACCCCAGCCCCACCCGCCCGCCACTGAGGCGCCGCCGCCCCTCAGCGCCCACACCCGTTGGGCCACCAGCCCCGCTCCGCGCATGCGCGCCCTCTCCTCCCCCCCCCCCCCCCAACAGCGCCGCAGCGCTGCCCGCCAGCATGGCGCGCATGCGCAGCAGGCGGGGCGCTGCCACGTGGGCGGGGCCGCCTTCTCCCTCCCCCCCCAACCCCGCGCCGCGCCCCCCCCTTGGGGACCCTGCCCGGTGCTGGGGGGGGACCCGGTGCTGACCCCCTGCACCCGGGACGGGACGGGACAGGCTGGGGCAGGACAGGACAGGACAGGGCAGGATAGGGCAGGGTAGCCCCGTCCTGTCTTGTCCTGCCCCCAAATCTCCCGTACCCCCT